TCACACTTATTTTTGGAAGGATTTAATTTCATATATACTCTTTATGTTACAAAGCATACAAAGAAAACTGTATATTTGTTTACTCACAAATGCTTGGATAGCTTTGTGCGTATGTTTATGCACAATAAATATACAAAACTAATAAGCTCAATATTATTGAATAAAACATTTGATACAATTCTTAAAAACAACTTACTTCTGCAACTCTAAAGCTGACGTTACATCAGTATTATATCAGTAGCAAGCTTACAAAGTAGTATTAAGTGTATACAAAAGTTTTAATCTTATTTTCATAAGTTTTCTTTTCATATAAGACTAAAACTTTTGCACACTCTGTATGTATAAAGATACATTTTTATATAAATCGTCATGATAATTATATATAGTCATTATGATCTAAATATTTGGAAAATGTTATTATGCAATAGTTCATCAATATAACTTGTTCAATAAAGTGTGATATAACTTACTTGGAATTATTATAAACGCAAGATAAAATTTTAGATTAAGAAAACATTTTAAAACGATAATTTATAATATTACATTGAAACAATTTGTTCTTAATAATAATATATACTTGAGTCTTTTCTTATATAAGTTCACAGAATTTAAAAATAGATATTCGTTTTTACTCATAAGAATATTTTTCTATTCAGTTAACACAGCTCCCTCGTTATTTCTTTTCGTAATGCACGATCTGTTTTAATAAATACCTTTTTACTCTATCTCTTTCGACGTTAAGATTATTGTTTACATCACCAAAATTCCAAGAGACTTTTTGATACTAGACGTTTCTGGTAACGAAAGAGCCCATTTTCTCAGTCCCGTTAACAAAACTGAACTTGTGACCAATATTGCACCTCCTACAGAATATCGGTTTGGTATCTCATTGAAGAATAAGACTTGCCAGAAAAAAGCAAAGACAATATCTGTGGATCTTGCTATGGCTACCGGACCAGCTTGTTCAATCTGGAGAGCTAGGGTCAGTAAGATTTGACCTGCAAAACTAAACAGTGCGAGCGCAACGACTAAAAGTCTATCTGTACCACAGCGTGGTAAACATAATGTACCAATAGCCCATGATATAAGTGTCGTCTGTATTAAAGCAAAGGAACCAAAGTTTGTCATTATAACAGAGAAATGAAGACCTTTCAATGCTCGTAGTAAGACGTATGCATTTGCACCAAATAAAGTGGCTGAAAAAGCAGCCACGGCACCCCATAAATCTGCATGTCCAGGTTTAATGTGACCATCTGAGAGAGACTCGACGGTATGGCCGAAAATTAACGGCGGTCGTGTTATAAATATCACACCGATCAATGTCAGACACACAGTGAGGATGTTGAATAGCCCGCAAGGTTCTTTCAAAAATATCCGTGCAAATATCGCTACAAACACAGGAACGGAAAATACAACAACAGAGGCATCAGCCAGAGGCATGTGCCTGAATGCATAAAAACTTAACATGAGGCCTGTTGTACCAATGAAACTTCTTAAGATCAGTATCAGTCTACGTCCTTTTGGGAAAGGATGTTCACCTTTGTAAATTACAATTGGTATAGCTGGCAATAGCACCCCTACAAATCTAAATATTGCCATTTCTGTAGGGTTCACTTCTACTAAACTCTTTACAATAACGCTACATAGTGAAAAGAACAGAGACGAGAGCGTCGCTAGTACTAAACCCAAGTATGGGCATGATTTGCATAAAAGAATAGAAAATGTTTTTTTACTATCTGTTGCGTTATTTTCCACATCAACATCAACTAAATGTTGCAATTCCACGTGTTCTGACATATCTGCAAGAAAAATAGGCCATGTTAAGACAAAATGAAAATTGCATTGCGATAAATTTTCAGACAATTAACACAATTGACTGCGGGTTGACTAAGGCTGTGTCTCTTTAAATTTACTTATGAAGCGTAACCAGTATCGAATTAAGTTTATTGTCAAGAAGTCAATGAAATGAGCATTGAAATAATTAGCAAGAATTATCGTGGCAGCAAATATGTTTTTAAGTATTTTTTTATAAAAAAAAATATCTTGGCTTTATTCATATTGGGTGCAGTAATATGTAACGGATGAAAATGACACTTTTTCATGTTAGCACGTTAACATTAGTATGTTTTGTTATGATAATCTCGAGCAATCAGAACATGTTGACATTCTTCAAATTAGAATAACAAAAAACAAAATATTGACTATTCAAATCATTTTGTAAATAATTCTAATGTTATAACATAAGACTGCAGTAGCCATAGTAAGGATCTAGTTTTTTTTTCCTTATATAGTTTTAACTATTAACTGAAAAAATGGAAAAGGAAAGGAAGGAGATAAAAACACAATATAATATAAAAAATAGGTATGTCATTTTACAATTTAGTTCATTTTACAGTTTCTCTTAATCTGACCAAATTAAATACGACGCATTAAGTAGCCATGTATGAAGAAATTTATGATTACTTACCCAGGGACACCCAGCAACACATTAAATATGTTGTAAATGAGCAACAATAAATACGTTATGCAATGAGCAACAGTAGCGAAGAACGTAGCCTAGATGGAAGACCAAGGACGTTAAACATCGCTGAGATAATTTTTTTTAATTTCATATAACGTTAACGGGCTCATATTTAGTCGCTATATTTAACGATCATCACATTATTGTGTACTATCGGCAAAAGTTAAAATCACTATTTCACGTTTAAACTTCTGCCCGTAATACCAATTATTTAGTTTCTTTTTTTTTATTTTCTGTGCTCCGATCTCCATGCACAGAAAGAAATCTGAGAACGGTTACACCGGGGTTTGACTAGTTTTGGATGATTGCTTGATATGCTATTTATGCCCATTTTTAGGATAGAATTATTTAGCCCATTTTCTGGCTACTACTGATAAAGTCAGTAAAGTGCGTCACTCGACAAAATCTTACGTGCCCAAGTGCGTTTTCCAGCAAGAAGACACAGAGGGTGTCTAAAGCGCGGTCTACATAGAAAATCAAGAGAGCGGATAGTGTTGCTTACTCTGATTGGTCCGCTATCTGCAGGTCAACTATCATAAATGTGCATATATATATATGATAAATATAAGGTTTGTTCTTTATAGCTGAACTCGGACTGCGCGAGAACTGAACCAATGCAAGCCAGAACTGTGCAAGGCGTGCAGCTAAAGAATAAAGAACGTTCTAATGCAAAAGTAAAGCCGGCGGCACACGATGCTTGTTTTCGTGTTGAATTACTTGCTGGATAGAAATTCTGATTTATGTATTTCCAAAAATGGATTTCCATCCAATAAGCACGAAACAAGAATCGTGTGTTTAATAGCGCGCTCCCTGAACGCATTCATGGAACTCACTTTCTAGTGATTTTTTTTCTGATTGGCCGACGACATGAAACTTCTCTCCGGATTGAAGTCTTCGGTGGAAACTAGATCTATGAATACCGGCCTCGGGATCTAGATATCTATAGGTTCAACCTTTTGGCGCAAAATAAGATAACGGAATAAGTTACGTTTGTAAGCGAAGATAGTGTTTGATACAGCGAATAAGGTATGTTGCATGTTAAATGATAAAATTACAGTAAAATAAAATGTAGCAAAATATGCTTTTTTCCATTCTAATTTCATGCTTTTAAGAATAGCTTTAAAAGTTTATATCGAGAATATTACATGGGAAGGATTTTCTCTTAACTATGGATAGAAGAAAATTTATGCTCAAAAGTTTACATAAGAATTTGGTATTGGAGAAACGGCCGTTAAAAAGAATTGATTCTGGTAGTGATCAAACAGATCTTCATACAACCAGCATTACAATACAAGATGAAACTAACTGTTTTAATGATGAACAATTGTCAAATGTTGAATCATCGAAACCATTAAATAACCGATCATTAACAAGAAGTAATTCTTCCTTTAAAAAAAAGAAAAAGGATTCTTGCAAAAATGAGGAGAATTCATTAGAAAGGAGTTTGACTACTGAATATAAATTGTCAAAAGACCAAACATCAGATACATTGAAAAATAATGAGATATTAGCAAGAGGTATATTTTCTACCAGTCAGCAAAGCAATGAGTGTTTATCAAGAAGTGACATATCAGTGACAAATAATTCTTTAACAGGTACTAGTGTTTCTACGGAGAAACTACTAACGCAGAAACGTAAAATGATAAGTTCTACAGATTCAGATAGTGATCTTGACTCTTCATCTAACAAATATATAAAAAAGAAAAGGCACAATGAATCTAAAGCAAGCAACATAAAAACTCGATACACTGGCCAAAACAATAATACCCAGAATTCCAATACAAGGTTACTTTCTCAGAATTGTATAACACATATTAAACCAATAATGATGTCCAATATTTCTCAGAAAGAGTTACAAGATAAACCCAAAGATTCACATACAAGATTTAAACAGTGTAATGTCAACAAAAAAAATTCTCAAAAAAAATCAGATCTTGTTGACACATCTGTTCTTAGTAACTTTTTGCAGAAATGTGGAATTATTTTCTCAATTGATGGTATATGTACTCTTAGTAAGTTTTTATATCATACTATAAATTTTTATATCATACATATTCTGTTATTAACTAAAGACAGCATTATATATTTTGAAATTTATTCTTCTAGATGTTCCATTATCTATTGCAAAGCAGAAGTT